CTGCCTCCTGGGTTTAAGTGATTCTCCTGCCTCAGCCTCCCGAGTAAGTAGCTGGGATTACAGGTACCCACCACCACACACAACTAATTTTTGTAATTTTAGTAGAGATGGGGTTTCACCATGTTGGCTAGGATGGCCTCGATCTCTTGACCTTGCGACCTACTCGCCTCGGACTCCCAAAATGCTGGGATTACAGGCATGAGCCACTGTGCCCAGCCCATTTTTTTTAAAGCTTAAACTGACAACTTTGGATCCCCTTTGGGTTAAGAATGAAGGCGGCTCTAGCTTCTTGTAGAATGACAGTTAAAATTTTAGGCTCTCCCTACGGTGGCCTGGTTAGACATAGAGCAATGGAATAGAATAGAGAGCCCAGAGACAAATCCTTGCATATATGGCCAATTTCTTTTAACAGGAGTACCACAATTGTTCTATAGGGAAAGGATAGTCTTTTCAACACACGGTGCAAGGACAACTAGATACAGACATGCTAAAACCAAGTTGGATCCATACTTTATACCACAGACAAAAATTAACTCAAAATGGATCAAAAATCTAAAATGTAAAACAGGAAACTATAAAACTTAGATGAAAACATAGAAAAAACCTTCATGATATTGGATTCAACAATGTTATCTTAGCTATGACACCAAGCGCATGGACAACCAAACAAAAAATAAACCGAACAAACACGAAAATTTTAAATTTTGTACATCAAAAGACAATTATTTGAACAAAATAAAATGGTAACCCATATAATGGAAAAAGATATTTGCAACTGATATATCTGATCAGGAATTAACATACAGAATATATTGAGAACTAAAGATATTAACAAAAACCTGATTCAAAAATAAGGCAAAGGACTTCAATAGACATTTATCCAAAGAAAACATACAAATGGCCAATAAGAACATGAAAGGGTGCTTGGCATCAATAACCATTAGGGAAATGCAAGCCAAAACTACAAAGATATACCCATTAGAATGGCTATTATAAAAAAAAAAACATCAGAAAATAGGCTGGGCATGGTGGTTCATGCCTGTAATCACAGCACTTTGGTAGGCCAAAGTGGGCAGATAACCTGAGGTCAAGAGTTCAAGACCAGCCTGGCCAACATGGTTGAACCCTGTCTCTACAAAAAATGCAAATGTTAGCTGGATGTGGTGGCTCACTCCTGTAATCCCAGCACCCTGGGAGGCTGAGATGGGCAAATCACTTGAGGTCAGGAGTTCAAGACCAGCCTGACCTACATGGTGAAACCCATCTCTATGAAAAATACAAAACTTAGCTCAGTGTGGTGGCACATGCCTGTAATCCCAGCTACTTGGGAGGCTGAGGCAGAAGAATCACTCAACTCCAGGAGGTAGAGGTTGTAGTGAGCTGAGATCACACCACTGCATTCCAGCCTGGGCAACAGAATGAGACTCCATCTCAAAAAAAAAAAAAAAATCAGAAAATAACAAGTACTGGTAAGGATTTAATAAAACTGAAACCCTTGTACACTGATGGAGAGAATGTAAAATAGTATGGCCTGAGTGGAAAACAGTATGGTAAAAAAGTTAAACATAAGAATTACCATATGATCCACAAGTTCTACTTCTAGAAGGCAGTTTGGCAGTTTCCTATAGAACTAAACATACTCTGACCATATGATCCAGCAATTACACTCTTGGGTATTTACCCAAGGAAGTTAAAACCTTCCAATCATATAAAAACCTGCACAATGAATGTTAACAGCATCTTTATTTGTAATTGTCAAAATCAGAAAACAACCAAGATGTCCTTCAGTGGGTGAATGGATAATCTGTAGTATATCCAGACAATGGAATGCTATTGAGTGCTAACAAGAAATGAGCTATCAAGTCATGAAAAGACGAAGGAAACTTAAATGTATGTTACTAAATGAAAGAAACCAACCTGAAAAGGCTACATCCTGCAGGATTCCAACCCTATGACATTCAGGAAAAGGTAAAACTATGGAGACAGTGAAAAAACCAATGGCTGCCAGGGGTTGGGGGAGGGAGGGGCGAGTAGGCAGAACACAGATGATTTTTAGGGCAGGGAAACTACTCTCTATGATACTATAATGGAGGGTACATGCCATTACACATTTCTTCAAACCCACAGAATGTATAACACCAAGAGTGAGCCTTCATGTAAACTGTGGACTCCAGGTGATAACGATGTGCCAATATAGGATCATCAATTACAACAAATCTACCCTCGGGTGGGGAGATGTGAATAGTGGAGGAGGCCATGCACATGTGGGGTTAGGCAGAGGGGAGTATATGGAAGATCTCTATACCTTCCACTAAAATTTGCTGTGAATCTGAAAGTGTCAAAAAAAAATTTTTTTTTAAAAGATGTTTGACATCATTAGTCCTTAGGGAAACATAAGTTAAAGCCACAATAGGATTCTACTGTCTACATTTCACAACAGCTAAAATTAAAGACTGAGCCTAAGTGTTTATAAGGATGTGGTGCTTTAATCTACCATTGGTTGAGAACAGAAAATGGTGCCACCACTTTGGAAAATCGCTTTACCATTTCTTAAAAGGATAAACATGTCTACCAGCAAATCAAGCTACTCCATTCCAAGGTATTTACCCAAGAGAAATGAAAGCATGTTTATATGAAATATTGCTTATAAATGTTCACTTTGGTAAACACTTTATTTATTGGTAAAGCCACATTTTGAAAACAATCCCAAAATCCATGAATATATAAATGGAAAAATAAACCGTTAGTATGTCGATTTCATTAAATATTTCTCAGCAATAAAAATGAGTAATGTATGTTACAACACAAATCACTAACCTATGTCAGACAAAAACAGTACACACTGTCAAATTCCATCACAGGTCACTGTCCAGCAAATTGGGGTCTGAGGCAGGAGGATCGCTTGAGCCCAGAGTTCAATTTTTTGTTTTTTAAAGAGAAAAAAATCTACAAATGCAAACTGATGTATACTGATAGAAAGTAGACCACTGGTTCCCTGGAGAAAGGAGAGGGCACAGGAAGCTCTTACTGGTGACTGGGATGTTTGTGATCTCAACTGTGATGAGGATTTTAGAGGTGCTGAAAAACTGATCAAACTGGGTAAACGAAGCAATGAGGAATGGAAGAGGCAATAAATCAACAATGTATTGAATATTTCCTCAATTCTCTTTAAGCTATGGAAAATCTGGAGTACACCTGAACTATATGATGTTTATTGTACATCAGTTATGCCTCACTCTCGCTTTAGAGGAACGGGGAAAAGAGTAGAGGAAGGGAGATGAAGGAGAAAGACAAGAGCAGAAAGCATTCTTTTTCTTTTGAAAATATTTTTAAATACGCTTGTTAAAAAGAATCACCTTCTTTTGAAATTAAACTTTCGAGAATATACTTGAACATGTTGCTATTTCACTTTTGATAACGTTCCCTATCTTGTATCTTCAGACAGATTCTCATACGTTATTTCACTTTTGGTAATGTTATCTATCACCCATCTTCGGGTGGATTTTCACCTGCTCTTTCACTGTTGATAACATCTTCGTCCTCAAGACAACTCTTCACATCTATCTACTGCTTATCTATCTTCCATCTTCTGAATACACTGTGACCCCAGTTCAAGATTAGGCCATTTCAATATAGTCTGAAACTTAAATTGTTTATTTTGAACCCCTTTTACTTCCCGCCATTAGATTCTCACTCCCTCAATGTATAATGCCTTTTTATCTATTGTAAAAATCTGTTTTAATGACTAGCATTCCTTTCCTTTGCCGTCTTAAATTCCAGTGGACTCTAACATGACTCCAATTTATCCCAATGTTCTGCCATTCCCAAGTCATTAACCAGTTATTGGTGAACAAGGGAGATGTAACCAAATTACATTGCTGAATACTGGCACTTCCTCAGATTTAGAAAACTGCTCATGTAGATGGGTAATACACTTTAAGCAAATTCAAGATTGCAAATTTATATTTACAAGGAATGAACATGACTTAATTTTTGTGCCTTTATAAATACTTACTTGATTCATTTTACTCATTATTTAAAGCAGTAAGTTTCACTGAAGTTTAAAAAAAAACTGTTAAAGAATCTCTACACATTTTCCCTCTCCAATGACAGTTTCTGATTTTGACAGCCTTAAGCAAATGACATTATTCTACATGGCTGTACCTTCTAGCATCAAGGCCTGGCCTCTCTGGCCCTACCCAGTGCATTCCCGGGTCACTGGGATAATGAAATGTCTGAGGCAAGTAGAGTGGGGAAGGGACAAGGACTGGTTAAGAACCACTGAGATCATTATATAATTGTGGTGATAAAAATGAAAACATGAAAAAATTCCCACAGAGGTTTGCTCTGACAAGTGCATTTCCAGTAATGTGTGGTATGCTGCATAACTGGGCCTGAACATCTCCTCTTCCCACCTACTCTCTTCCTTTCCATTTTTATAGCCACTACTCCATACTGAGGTCCTTACAACCCTGCACGAGAATAACAGCTTCTAACCAGCTGATTTTAGGTTTGCTTTCCTCCAACTCATTGTCTGACACTCCTGCAAAATTTGTCTTCCCCAAATATCTTATTTTCTTCATGTCACTCACTCCCTCATCAACATGTTCAAATGTGAATGGCTTCTAAGACTCGCAAATGCAGCCTCAATTGCCCTGACCTATAATAAATACCACAGCATTCCCTCTCTATCGCCCTTGCTTTACCTAAACTGTCTTACTCTCAAATCCAACATTAAAGTTCCATCTCTGCATTTTTACTGACACTTCGCACTACTAAACTAAATAGGATTCATCTTTTGAGACCTTACATTCTCCATGGCACCCTCACTATCCAGGGCCTTTCATCCTCTCTGCATCCACATAAGAGTGAGTTTAAAGTAGCATTAAAAGGAGGCAAAGAAAGATATATTGTTTAGAGAAAGTTAATAAGCTAAATAAAAAACAAAAAATAAAGCAGCTCATATTCTCTGTAAAAATGAATCCATAAAACATGTTTACCTGTTTCGCTACTTTCAGGGAGAGAGTCATATTCTGCAGGACCTAGAGTGAGAGCGTTCATGCCTGCTGGGTCCGACTCCTGTGGGTCTGGCAATGCTGCATTCTCATGGCTGTGGTCACCATCACCACTGGCATCCAATCCTACAGTTAGGAGTTTACCCCAAAAGGGCAGGGTAAGAAGAATAACTTTCTCTTAAAACAAAGCTTACTCTAGCAGTTACTCGACTTCTTTAACTGGATTGTAAAAGACCTGTGGGCTCTTCTTAAGCACTGTCAACCATGACACAGTTGTGAATGAACATCTTAAAACAGATTAAAGTGGAAACAAAAGCACAGGCCTGAAAGCAGGGCCACTGCGCACCACAGCCACACTCAACTCACCCTGCCGGCCACAGTCTGAGTGGTGGCCACGCGCCTCCTCCCACGCGGCACTCACATTTGCACTGCTTGCTTCCAGATGTAACACAGGGGCCCCCCACACTTCTGCATTAGGGTTCAGCTCTGAAACCTTAGTTGCTGGTACCTAGAAAGAAATGTGAGATAAACATTTGTATCCAAATGTCAACCAAATACAATTTTGCTCATTAATGCAAAGTTAAGAGACATCTGATTTAGGCTCCAAAGACTGAGTCAATCTGTTTACACACACCTTCAGGGTAAAATCAGGTTCAGAATTTAAAAAAAAAAAAAAAATGCAGTCAAAATTCCTTTAAATTATCCACAAGGTTTAAGTTCCTCCTCCCAATACCAAGACTTGCAGAGATGGGGAAGGACAGGCCTGCCATCAGAAAGATTCAGTGTTCCACAAACTGTGTACCTGAGGAAGAGCTGGTGACTTCCTATTCTACCTAATAAAATCACAATTCACAGTTTTACAAACTTGAATACAATGTAGATGAACACAATTCTAATTAGAAAGCTTCAAAAAGTCAGCCGGACATGGTGGTTAACACCTGTAATTCCAGTACTTTGGGAGGCCAAGGCGGGCAAAACTAAGGTCAGGAGTTCAAGACCAGCCTGGCCAACATGGTGAAACCCCATCTCTACTAATACAGAATTAGCCAGGCGCGGTAGCGTGCGCCTATAATCCCAGCTACTGAGGCAGGAGAATCACTTGAAACCAGGAGTTGGGGGTTGCAGTGAGCCAAGATCACACCATTGCACTCCAGCCTGGGTGACAGAGCAAAACTCCATCTCAGAGAGAGAGAGAGAGAGAGAGAGAGAGAGAGAGAGAGAGAACTTCAAAAAATCACAAACAAAAGGTGTAGAAAATGAAAATTGCTCCTAAGAACAAAGGTGTTCTAATAGGTCTGTCGGGGGTACTATAGGATAAGAAAGCTCAAGCATCCTTTGAAAAAGATTAAAATATCTCACATTTTTCACAGAACTACTTATTCCCATTCCCAATAGAGCTTCAGTTTCACCTTGAAAGAGAATCCACAGGTGACCATGAGGCTGCCAGTCCAGCGTTCTGGACACAGGCTCTCAGATCGCTGGGGCTGAAGCCAAAGCTGCCATGGGCAGCTGTGTAACCTGGGCTCAACCTCACCTGGAAGACAAGATTCCCTCTAATGGGGTTGCTGACAGCACCATCTCCCACCATCAACCTGATGGCTGGCACATACCAAGCACTCGTTACATCCTGAGCTCATCAGCCATCATGATAGTCAGGTATGCTAAGTTAGTCCAACAGGGCAGCCCTCTACCCAAAACCCTCCCCCATCAGCTTGGCTCATTTGGAGTATAAGACAAAGTTCCCACTATGGCCACAGCACCCTCCTGTGCTCACTGCTCCCTGGCCACATCCACTTCCAGGCACACTGACCTTCTTGCTGTCACTAGGCACAATGGTACTTGTGCTCTTCCCATCTGTCCAAAACATCCTGACCAGAGATCCGGGACTGGTAGTCCTTCCTGACACATCATATAAACCCACAACAGTCCCCCACCATGTGGAAACTCCCTAAACCCCTGGTTTTTCTGACACAAGCTGGGCTTTCTTAATGTTTAAATGAGGACCTATCACTAATTCTTTTCATTTTGTTAAGTACTGGTGATAGGTCAAAGAATCGGGTTCCTTCAAGAATGCTATAATCAACAAACACCAATTCTTCAATTTTCCTGCTTGCATCACATCTAAACTTTGTGTTTGGCCTCTGGTTGTGCAGTGTTTCTTGCTCTCTTCTCTCTCATCCACCCACCTGTCCAACAAGTGCCTCGATACTTGCACCAGCATGGCTGTGACAGGCACAATGCTAAGCAGGCAGGTGTGATGGTGAATGAAGCAGACAGGAGCTCATGGAGCTGCGTGACGGTGCAGATGACAACCACAAGTCACCCATGACACTCCCTCTGGCAGCATTTCCGCCTTTCTGCCTGTTCTGTTGTCTTCGTAAATTCATTTCTCTATTCTGTATCCTACTCTAATTCTTCCACACATGGTCTTTCCTAATTAGACCCACTCTCTTTTCACCACCACCACGCAATGCAGTTTTCCGGCCTTGGTTCCATTCCATCCACTTAGGTGGCTCCCCTCAGTTCATGCACATACTATACATGCTTTAAATTCCCAACACTAACTAACAGTAACCTTCTCTATTATTAGTACCATTTGCAGTTGACTGCCCTATAGTACCAAAATACATTTTGTAGTTTATTAATACAGACCAACAGCACTTTGAAAGCAGTGGCAGCAAGGCTGCTGCACTCCCATAGTTCTTGTGGCTAGAATAGTGTCTCTGTACCTTTCATTCCAGGGTGGTGGTCACCATGGGCTCTTTACTCACTGCAGCACTGCTGATAGCTAGCATAGTCCTGAATTCAGGAGGGAGATGCTCAAGACATATATATCATGAATGAATCAATGTTTAATAAAAAACAGGAATTTTGCACTATCTGACAACTTCTGCAAGGTTCTATGCCATAGATTAATAGGACTCTACCCTTAAACAATGACTACCTCTTAGAGAAGAAGTCCAAATCAAGTGTATGCAGTTAGCAAATGTTCAATAAATTCTGTGACAGAAGAGATGTGACCAGGAATGACAGAATGAAGATGTCTTTTGAGGCTTAATAACATTCAAGGATTTACAAAGTACTGAGCACATTCTATGCACTTACCTGTACTGAATCAGAACAAGTCTTGGAGGTGGTTATTAACTAGACTCATTTCACAAATAAAAAACCAAGGCAGAGAAAGGTTAAGTAACTTGCCCATAAAAACAATGGTAATTGTGTTCAGCAAAATATAACATTCATCAAGAGTTCATTAAACTTATAATTTACAAGAGAAATAGTTTGTATTAAACAAAGATCTGGATCTCCTACTATTTCTATAAAATATAGTAATTCTCTTGCAGTCATATGGAACTCTAAATGATCATCAAGAACTCCAGCGTCGGCGAGGTGCGGGTACACCTGTAATTCCAGCACTCTGGGAGGCCAAGACGGGCAGATCACTTGAGGTCAGGAGTTCAAGACAAGCCTGGCCATCATGGTGAAACCCCATCTCTACTAAAAACACAAAATTCAGCTATATGTGGTGGCACACACCTGTCCCAGCTACTTGTGAGGCTGAAGCAGGAAAATTATTTGAACACAGGAGGCAGAGGTTGCAGTAAGCCAAGATGGCACCAATACACGCCAGCCTGGACAACAGATCAAGACTCCACCCCCCCCCCAAAAAAAATAACAAACAAGAAGAACTGCAGTGTCGTCTGCTTGGCTGTAAGTCTTACTTTTCCATTAAAAATGTATGGCTAAGCAATGGTTATTAAAACTGGAGGCAAGCTGACCTTAACAGCCACATTCCTAAGTGAACATCCCTGAGTTCTGATGCTTTAAATAAACTCTTCTACCCCACCCCACCCCAGGCAACACACTATGCTCCACTTTGAAATATAACATATCAATTAGTAAGTGTGTACATTATGGACATGAAACAGGGTCTCTCCGACAAGTTACTAAGTAGGAACTGGAGTGACTGATGACAGCAAAGGGGTACTGGCAGGTGAGGTAACAGAAAGGAGGTGAGAGACTAGGGAAAGACACATGCCATGCAAGCACAATCCACTCCTAAAGTTGCACTAAAAAGTTTAGAAATTCAAGGCAATTTGCTGACTTCAGAACCAACCAAGGCTCTCCCCTCAGTTCTTTATTTAGGAAATGGAATTAACAGCTGCTATATTAAGATTTAGTATTAAAAAAAAAACACCTATAACAGCACTTTGAAAATTGAAGTTCTGAAAGGCAAAGCACCATCGTTAAATGTGGTAATGCCTCACAGTAGAATACTGTTTGGGGACACCTCACAATGGAAAAGCTAACTGAAAACTGGAAGCAACCTCTCACTTAGCCATCATTCATGCTCTGTGATGATGGCTAGGCAGTGACACTGACAGACAACTGCAAATTAGGTCACTTCTGTAAAAGATTAACTGCAGATTATCTTAAAGATCCAGTTTTATACTGCTGTGCCTCCACAACCATTTAAGGAGCAAAACGCATGAATTTGAACGTAACTCTTTCTGGAAAAACTCCCAATGGGGGCATGGAAATAAAAGAGGTTGACGGATTATTCCTCACACTGTAGAATGAGATTTCTGCTTATTTATTCCCATACAGAAGTGTTGACACTGGAGTCATCTCTATCTCCTTAACATCAATGCTTTTTCTTGTTTCACTGCCCAAAAAAAATCACTAATAAACCATCAGTTGAATAATGAGATCTTGGTACTCTGAGGATGTGCTTTCAATCACACTGCTTTGATAAATGTCTGTTTTGTAAGCAAAACTAATTTCCTGTTGTTGAATGATGGTGGCATTTATTACAGAATTTCTGGAAAGATGATCAAACTAGCTACCCATAGAATCACTTGCTAAGCTTCTTCCAAACCAGAGGGGCAGCCCCATCTCGGGGTTCTAAAAGAGCTCCACGGTGATTCTAACTGCAAGAAGACAGAACCAACATTTTATAGCCAGTTAAAATCAGCAAATTCTATCTGCCTCAGATACAGACAAAGATATCATGAAGCACCAATTTTTAGCTAAGTTTGTCTTCTGCAGTGTGACTGATACCTTCAATGGGCTCACATGCTTACTGAATCAACTACACTGCTCATGCGGAAAGATGCCCTCAAAGGGCTCTGAACAGCTGGCAAAATTCAGACAGAAAAAAGTCAACACAGAGCTGCACAGGACAACTAGCAGGGCATGCCTTACTGCTAACAAGAGTTTGTACCCAAACTCTGGCTTAAATACACCAAACAAGGAATTCATATTCTCCAATTTGGAAATCATTAATGGTATAGTTATTCACAGCCATATGTAAGCATTCAAACTGCCCAATGTTCAGAATAAATCTGCATTAGTTTTAAGTTAAAAACAATTAAAATGGGCCAGGCCCAGTAGCTCATGCCTATAATCCCAGCACCCAGGGAGGCCAAGGCGGGTGGATCTCCTGAGGTCAGGAGTTCAAAACCAGCCTGGCCAACATGGTAAAATCCCATCTCTATTAAAAATACAAAAATTAGCCGGGCGTAGTAGTACATGCCTGTAATCCCAACTCCTTGGGAGGCTGTGGCACGAGAATTACTTGAACCCCGTATCACTTGAACTCAGGAGACAGAGGTTGCAGTGAGCCAAGATCATGCCACTCCAGTCTGTGTGACAGAGAGAGACTCTGTCTCAAAAAATAAGTAAATAAAAATAATTAAAATGTATAGCCTAGCATACTGTAGCACAACAGTAAACACAGATGAAACATACTTACGAACTGTCCATCTCTATCATGCCATCCCCAAATAACACCATCCTCTGATACCGGTAGCTGAGGAGTGTTTTCTGAAAACGAAGCAATTTCCAAGTCCTGTGGCTGATGGTATAGATCCTCACTAAATATTTTTCCAACTTCTAGTGCATCTTTTGTGACTGTATTAGTCCAGAGATAGCCCATTTGATATCCACCACAACCACGGGCCAGTCTTTCAGAAAATACTGGATTTGCTAGCCCTCCCATTGGGTAACAGGAAAATTCACCCAAAAAATGGGAAACTCCTTCTGGGAAACTCTGCCAATCCATTTTTGAGGGATGTTCTGATCTATTGAGGACACCTTCTGTGAGTGATAAAATGCGGTCACTATTTGATACGACAGCATCTTTGCTGTCCATGGGGACAGCAGGAGTCCCCTGGGCTGTATCACAGTGGGGAGCTGTGTATCTGTCCACTAGGGTGGGATCAACACCAACCAAAAATAAATGCCCATTGGAAGTGCCATGTGACTCCATTTTTTCAAAAATCACCTTAGTTATTCCCATAAAACCCACTTCACCATTTAAAGTAGATTGTTTAAGAGTGGACTTGGCATTTCCTTCTTTGAAATGGTATGCACATTCATTTGTCCCACATGGACCCAGGCAGTCCAAAATTTTGGGGTCAATACTATCTTTCTCCAAATAAAGTCTCTCTTCCTCTTCTTTACATGTTAGTTTTGGTATTCTCAACCCTGATGTATTAGTACCAAAGACAACAGAAGCCTCTTCAATTGATTCAGAGTAAATTCCCTTCCATTTTGGGCTTTCACCACTACTAACAGATTTCTCTACTATTTCTGACTTCTGTATAACTGGATTAAAACTTTGACTTAAAGGTGGTAACACATTAAGACCACTGTATTTGCTGGCATATACTTGGTGTGTTTCATAATTTTTTTCTATTTGATTAGTCTCAAAATCAGGGTTCTCTGTCGTACTAAAACTAACGCAGGAGAGTACATCCTGACTTGGCACTGCCTCACATCCTTGTGTACCTGTTTCCCACTCACAGGTCATTTCAGAATCTGACTTGACAGTCTCTGTGTCATCTTCACTTGTCTCTCTATACTCTGCTTTCTGTGATTCTTTTTCACCACTTTCTAACCTTTGGGGGTCACTCAGCTGGTCTCCTGACACACTGACTAAACTCTTCACACATATTTCACCCTCTGTTTTGTCACTTGGGCTTATTTCCCTCACTTCTTCCTCTGTGCAGGTGAAAATCAATGCGGAGGAAACACAGTTACTCTGAAGAGACCTCGAGTGACGGTGAGACTTGCCATCGGGGGGCACTCCTTGTGCCATGCTAAGCTTCCAGCTGTCTGTCCTCTGCACCGTCCCCTCCATGTCCACCACACGCTCCACACAAGTTAGGTCACAAGTCTGTGTCGAAGCCTCATCTGCTTGACACCAAGATTTCAACTGAAAAGTCCTTATACCATGACCCTTAGCCCCAAAAATGCCAATTTTGTCCTCTTCCTGGTAAAAGGCACTATTTTCAGATTGCAGAGACAGCTCTCCTCTGTCTGCCAGTAAGTGACCTCTGGTCTCCAGGCCACAGTCTCCTCTGCGCTGCGCCTTCCTCAGTGGCCCAGGGACAGATTCCGGCTCCCAGCAGTCATCAAGCTGGCTTGGGGCTGCTTCTCTTGAATTAGTGTGACCTGAGAGACACCCACTTCCAAATCTCACTGCAGTGACAGGCCTCTTGGGACTTAAATCAATGCTATCTAAACCAATGGGAAGGATACTATCGAATTTGCTAATATCCAGGTAGAAACAATCATTGTCTCTTAGTGGTTTGATAGAGTTATTTTCTCCCTCCTTTTTAGAATGTAAATTCTGGTCGACACCAGCCTCCTGGTCATCACTCCCTGCAACACACGCAGTGTCAGTAAGGACGCTAACAGGAGAATGATCCATCTCACTTCCTACTCCTGAGTTACGGCTCTCACGTTCTTCCAGAAGGACACACGGAAGTCTCAGTGAGTCACTGTTCATGTTATTATTTACTTCAGGGAGTAGGTCAATATTATGCAGTGTACTACTTTCTGTGTAATTTTTAGGGAATTCAGTGCAAGCTTCTGCCTGTACAGCCTCCACCTGTGTGTTATGAGCATTTGCTTCACAAGGTGCATGGCTGAATGCCACAGGCTCAGGGCAAGGCTGGGTTTTCCCACTGCATTTCCCTGTCCGTTCACCTGGACCCAGTGTGTCCCGGGGCAGGAGCTCATCCTGCCATGGCTCTGGCTCGTCAGCCCCTGACACGGAACGCAGGGCTGAAGGCACAGCAGAGCGACACTCTCCTTTTGCAGTTACTCTGCCTGCCCAGGTGCCCAGCTTCTCTCCTACACTTGGGAAGGCAGAGTCTGCAACACAAATGCTGTGAAACTCGTACTCCCTTAAATCCAGATATTGCTGATGATCAACACAAACGGGGTTTCTGTCTTTCTTCTCCCTACTGGATATGTCTGAAGACTTATTCTCATCACCGCTACTGAGGTGAATGCTGACCACCATTTCTTCCTCTACTAAAGAGTGTCTACAAATAGCTGGGTAATAGTGCAGATGGCCACTCACAAAAGTTTTCTCCTGCAGGCCTCGGTCAGAAGGCACTGGCACACATGAGAAGGGTTCCTCTTCACAACAGCCTTGGCTGCCAGTACCCACGCACAGTGGGTCACAGACTCCCTCAGAATTCTGCTCATTAACAACAGTATCTGAATTCTTGTCACTCTCATCCAAGTTTTCAAACCTTGTTAAGAATGTATATACAAGAGAGGAAATAGGGTTCACCAACTGCGTAGGTCTATGACCCTGTTTGTGCTCAGACTCTGCAAAAATACTTGTCCACGCACTAAGGCCAGCAGCTTCACTGCTGGCTCCAATGCCAACACCGTGAAGCTCCTCACCCTCAGAGGTACCATATAATGAAGATAAAGTTTTACTTATCTTGTTTTCTGGTTCCTTCTCCTCCACAGATTTTTGTAACAGGCCAATTTTTTCACTGTCATTGTCACTACTTAGTCCTTTGCTGAAGCAACAGCCCATGTTTGAGAGCTCACAAGCACACAACACGGGTGCCAATCCCAAGCCTCCACAGACGTACCTCACACTAACTTGCTATGCTTTCTGAGGAGAAGCCAACACCCAGAGGCCAAAAATAACCCCTTGTACAGCAGTCACATGTTCCTGCCACTCAAACCCAAATCCTAATGACAACAGAGTCTGACCTGACAAGGAGCATACTCCATGTGCTCAATTCCAAATATGACCGGGAATCCAAAAACTCAGAACAATAACAGAAGAATGCTGCATTGTATTTTTTCCTTACTCTCATAAACTCAATAAAATGTAACTTAAAATATTATTCCAGTCAGAAAGATTCCAGGCTTATGGTTTTTCTAGTGTTTCAGTATTTCCCAAATTACATTTCATGGGATAGTGGTAACTAAATAGTTCACAAATTCCCCCCAAAGGAAAACAGTATCAGAATTTTGTCCCTTAAAATATATAGGTACTTACAGTTATATCTAATTTTCTAGCTTTAAGAAATAAACAGCAGGGGCTGGGCGTGGTGGCTCACACCTGTAATCCCAGCACTTTGGGAGGCCGAAGCGGGTGAATCACGAGGTCAAGAGATCGAGACCATCCTGGTCAACATGGTGAAACCAGGTCTCTACTAAAGATACAAAAAATTAGCTGGGCATGGTGGTGCGTGCCTGTAATCCCAGCTACTTGGGAGGCTGAGGCAGGAGAATTGCCTGAACCCAGGAGGCGGAGGTTGCGGTGAGCTGAGATCATGCCATTACACTCCAGCCTGGGTAACAAGAGCGAAACTCCATCTCAAAAAAAAAAAAAAAAAAAGAAATAAACAGCAATTAAGAACTGAAAAAAAAAAAAACAAAGGAGACACCCCCCAAAAAAAGCAATTAAAAAAATGTCTGTAGATAAGTGTGTCAGGTATGAAAATGGCATTATGTCAGAGATACATGCTGAAGTATTTGGGATAAAGTGACACATTATCTACAATTTGCTTTAAAATAACCTAGCACATATAGTAAATATATACACACACATAAAAAAGTTAAAACAGTTGTGTGCATAGGGGGAGGAAAAGACTTAAAAACAGTAGTCCACATCAGACATGATAGCACAAGACTTTGGGAGGCCGAGGCAGGTGGATCACCAGAGGTCAGGAGTTCAAGACTAGCTTGGCCAACACGGTGAAACCCTGTCTCTACTAAAAATATAAAAAATTAGCCAGGCATGGGGATACATGCCTGTAGTTCCAGCTACTTAGAAGGCTGAGGCAAGAGAATCACTTGAACCTGAGAGGCAGAGGTTGCAGGGAGCCGAGATTGCACCACTGCACTCCAGCCTGGGTGACAAGAGTGAGACTGCATATCAGAAAACAAAAACAAACAGCAGTCTAATGTGGAGATGGGTAACTGTTGAAGTTCACGATGCTGCATTCGGTTCATTATATTCTTCTCTCCACCTCCGCAGATGTCTGAGCACTCCAATCAAGAGAAAGGAAAACAGAGCTCAAGCCCTAGCACCAGAATCAGAGTCTCCTGAAAGCACTTGATGCAGGAACACACAGTCTGCCATCTGCTGAAAAACAGGTGTCTACAACTAAACAAGTTGCCACTGCACTACGTGGTCTGGGCCCTGACTCTGGACTCACATGATGGCTCCAGATGTCATAAGAAACATAAAACAAGACCTTATGACATCTGTAATACTTTGTTCTTAGTATAAGTAATTCTTTTTCACATTATGATTCTGACATGCTATCTGAAAAACAAAGTAATTCGTTTAATTCCTCTGTAAGAGAGATTTTGCTATTTAATCTATGAGTTATAACCGGTGTCCGATTTTTTTTTTTTTTAAATAATAACATTTTGGCTGGGCACAGTGGCTCACACCTGTAATCCCAGCACTTTCGGAGGGTGAGGTGGGTGGATCACGAGGTCAGGAGTTCAAGACCAGCCTGGCCAAGATGGTGAACCCTTATCTCTACTAAGAACACAAAAAAAATTAGCCGGGCGTGGTGGCGGGCACCTATAATCCCAGCTGCTCCGAGGCTGAGGCAGGAGAATTGCTTGACCCAAGGGGCAGAGGTACTGCACTCCAGCCTGGGAGACAGAGCATGACTCCATGTCTAAATAAATAAATAAATAAATTTTATCATTAAAATATTATTACAGTTTATCATAAAAAGTTTAGGAATTATACTTAAACATAAAGGCAACAGGAACACTTCTGAATATACTTAAATTCAGGTACTGAAATCACAATAATAATGATTATGATAATGGTAGTAAACACTTTATATAGCACTATATGCCCCAAAATATTAATTACATATATGCATCCACTTTGCCGCAAGTGTTAATTTGTACTCTTAACGAACCCCAAGGTAGATACTACTAATCCACTGTACAGATAAGGGAAATGAGGCACCAGGAGATTTACTAGCAGTTTTGGATGAGGAAACAAAACTCAGACCATACACTGACCCTAGTGTTATGCTACTCAAAGAGAATTAAATATCTACATGGGAAAAACATTCCCATGTTTGTATCCTTGTTTGCACTAAGGATACAAACAATTCATACCAGCTGCAGGGGGAAAGGGTACAGTAAAGCAGAGAAGCTCATGAGATCACCTGCTTGGTCTTGAAGTCTCAGCTCCATTTTTACTACATGTGTCATCTCTGGCAAATTATATAACCTCTCTCTCTCAGTTTTCTCATTCGTAAAATGGAGCCAACATCGACACCTATTTCGAAGAGCTGTTGTGCTGACTTTAAGTACTTGGAAAAGAATCCCAATATAACTTCAAAGTCCCCATAATCTGGCCCCAGCCTACCTCTATGATCTCGGCTTCTAAGATACCATTCCCCCAACCTCCTCTGTCTCATGCAAAAAGATCAGCTAACCAACACCAGCACGGCGCCTCAATGCTGTTTTATTCTCCAATCTCCTCCCTGCACTTTTCAAGCCGTAAAGTCCTTTGTGAAACCACTCTGTGCTGCTTTAACAGAATAAGGCTGGAACAATTTATAAAGAACAGAGATTACTTCGCACAGTTCTGGAGGCTGAGTCTCAAGTTGAGAGGCTGCATCTGGAGAGCCCTTTGTGCTGCACATCATACGCACACCTGAGGACATGGAGTCATTCTTGTCACGATGGCACTTATCCACTCATCCACTTGAGAGGGCAGAGCCTGATGACCTTATCATCCCTTAGAAAGCCCTACCTCCAATGCTGCTGCACGGCAGACTGAGTTTCCAACACATGAACTTTGGGGGACACACATGCAAACCACAGCATTCCACCCCAACTCCCACATTCATTTCCTTCTATAATGCAAGAAACACTCACTCCATCCCAATGCCTCCAATAGCCCAATTGTCTTAACACATTTCAGCATCAACTTAAAAGTCCAGGGTCTCGTCTGAATCAGATATGGGTGAGACTCAAGGCACAATTCACCCCAAGATCATTCCTCTCCAGCCCTGAGCGTGGAAATTAACAAGGTATGTGTATCCAAAATAAAATGGTGGGACAGGCACACACACACAAAATTTGCTTTCCAAAAGGGAAAAATAGGCAAGAAGAGGCAAGAGGCTCCAGGTTAGTCCAAGACCCAACAGGGCAGACAGTATTAAATATTAAGCCTCTACGGAGAATCATCTCCTCTGACTCCATGTCCCAACCCTCTGGGCACACTGGTGAAGGATTGGGTCCCAAGGGCCTCAGACAGCCCCACCTCATGGCTTTGCTATTCAGTTTAATTTCTATGAAGGCATTTTGTTCAACAGTAGATTTACAAATCAACTTTGTGTGGCAGTACTGTGCAAACTGTTGTACTGAGAGAATAGTCAAATCACTGGGAGGAAGTGACAGATGTGTCCGAATTCTCTGCCTGGCAACTGGCTGCTTTCATAGGCACTGGAGTTCAGCTGTCAGGGGCTGGAGTCTCCTGCCCACAGCTCTCCTAGGCTGATGATGCAAGCTGGCAGCTACAGAGCTGAAGGCTCTCAGGCCACTCCCACAACTCCACTAGGCCTGCCCTGTTGGGATTTCTCTGCAGCAGGTTCGACTCCAAATTTCTGCTTGCCGTTGCCCGAGTACAGGCTCTCTGCAGTTGTTCTGCTCCTGTGACAAGTCTCTGCCTGGGCCCCCAGACTGTCCATGACATCTTTGGAAATCTAGGTGAAGGCTGCTCCACAGCTCTAGCATTCTTCTTGCCTGAAAATTAGCAACATGTGGATGCCACGAAGGTTTATGATTTGTACCTTCTGGAGCCGCGCCCTGAGCCACCACTGGGCCCACTTGAGCCACAGCTGGGGTGACTGAGAAGCCATGTACCAGACATGGGGAGCAGAGGTCGAAGGCAGCTCTGGGCAGCAAGCCTGTGGAAGGCCCCCAGTACTCATCTACCAAAGCCATTTTGCCCTCCTAGAGGGCAAATATGATGCGCCTGTGATGAGGGGACAGCCTTAAAGAACTCTGAAATGGCCTCGCCAACACAGCAAGACCCCATCTCTATAAATAAAAATAAAAAGTTAGCGGGGTGTGGGGGAACTTGTCTGTAGTCCTAGCTACTTAGGAGGCTGAGGCAGGAGGATCACTTGAGCCCAGGTGTTTGAGGCTGCCATGAACTATTATTGTTCTACTGCACTCCAGCATCGGTGATAGAGCAAGACCCTGTCTCTTAAAACAAACAAAACAAAACAAACAGCTGGGTGTTTTTAATTATTTCCTTCTTGTTTCTCTTTTTAAATGAAATAACAGTACCAAATAGAAAGTATTTCCTCTTGAGTTTGGATTCTGAAGCCAGGCTGCCTGGGTTCAAATCCGGGTTCTACCACTTTTTAGTTCAGTAATCTTGGGGATAAATTACTTAAGCCTCTTTGTGCCTCAGTTTCCTCCTTTGCAAAATGGGATAACAGTACCTAGTGGTAAGACAGGTGTAGGGCTCACAGGAATTAATGAGTAAACTTAAGTGTTAGGTGAGTGCATAGTAAGAGCCATGATAGTCTGCAGTGATAACCACCATATGTGATATATTCTTTTATACCGGAGATATTTATGAAGCACCTGTCTGTCAGGAAGACACTAGGATACAACAATAAACAAAACAAAACCCTAGCATTCTAGTCCAGAGATAAACACTACGCCTAACAAATAGCTACCATTGTTAGAAGATGCTAACTGCTACACGTAAGGGGTCTGAGGCAAGCCAGAGGAGGTGGATGTGGATAGATAGGGCTCACTGAGAAGGTGAGGCCGAGACTGAGAGAGGTAAGAGAACAAGCCTCGAAGACTGCTGGGAAAGGGGCACACCAGGACTAATTGAGGCAGACAACCCTGTGGTGAGGTGACGCTGGCATGATCCAACGGTCAAGAGCCCACTGGGGCTGGCAGCGTGCCAGGGGAGAGCCAGCAGGCAGGAGAGTCAGAGAGGACAGGTAGGGCCCTGCCAAGACACAGGCTGACTCTGATGTTGAGCACAGAAGTGTAGGTTCTGAGTTGGTCTTCTCGAAGGAATCCTTTGGCCACTGTCTTAGAACAGAAGGGTAGGTTGGGGACATCAGGGAGGAGTGACTGCAGCTGTCTAGGTGAGAAGCACTGGCTTCATGAGATCAGAACTCCAAACAAAGAATCAAACAGACCAATCATCTCAGAAGCTTTGACACCACTGTATGACTCTCTCAAGTATCTCTTTTTCTTTTTTCTTTTGGAAGGGAAGGGAGATGGAGTCTTACTCTGTCTCCAGGCTGGAGTACAATGGGATCTTGGCTCAATGCAACCTCCAACTCCCTGGTTCCAGCAATTCTCCTGCTTTAGCCTCCCAAGTAGCTGCGATTACAGGCACCTGCCACCATGCCCAGCTAATTTTGTCCTATTTTTAGTAGTAATGGGCTTTCACCATGTTGGCCAGGACAGTCTTGGTCTCCTGACCTAGTGATCTATCCTCCTTGGCCTCCCAAAGTGCTGGGATTACAGGCGTGAGCCACCGCACCCGGCCTCAAGTATCTTATCTGCAAAAGTTCCCTGATTTGAAGATACACATTTCTGCTATTTTCACAATTTCTAGAATTGTGACATGTAGTCAAATTGCTGCCAAAAACTCACAGGACTCTTTGAGGATCTTGGCAGTGGATTACCTACATGTGTTTATTTTGCAGAAAAACACTGATTTATACTTTTATGATCTGTGCATGTAGCTATGTGTATATGTAAGAACACTGATGCCTATGAAGGTAGCCAGGTGCCAGGCAGAGAACTCTGACACATCTGTCACTTCCTCCCAGTGATCTGACTATTCTCTCAGCACAACAGTTTACACAGTACTGCCACACAAAGTTCACTTGTAAATCTACTATTGAACAAAATGCCTTAATAGAAATTAAACGAAATCCTAAAATGAAAGAATTTGCAAAAGTTTCTCATATTCTAAATGATGCAAATACTAAGCAGCAAAATTACTAATTTTTTTAAAGAAATTACAAAATGTTCTAAGTTGGAAGATGTTTTTACTGATCCCTGTGCCTTGAAAGACTGCTATTACAATACATCTACAACAAGAGAAGTTTTAGCAGCATATAACTCATTTACACAAGGATAAAACTAAGAATAGTAAGCCAAACAGGGAATGAAGAAATCCCTCTATTTTTAAATATGCCTTGGAACTAAAAAGATCAGGGGTATGTGTTATAGAAAGCATTCCTTCTGCCAATGACCAAAACGCTACAATCAAAATGCTACAATGCTATCTCATCAAAAAGAAATTTTCTACATTAAAAAGGATCTACCAGCCTTCTCAGCACAAATATATTCTAAGAGGAAAAGATGGCACCTGGTCAAAGAGTATCCTTCATCCTGGGGCAAGTTCTAAGAAGTTACCAGAAGACCAAGAACCGTGCATACACTCTGGGGGTAACTGGAGAAGAACTGGATTGTTTTGTAATTAAATCATTCTGATGTAAAGGCAGCTTTACAGTTTCTGGTATAGTAACAAACATATTTCTAAGACAGGAAAAGGTATCAACATCCTTAAGGAAAGTTCTTAGGTCTTTAGTTTTTATTTATTTATTTTTTTTTAGAAACAGGGTCTCCCTCTGTCACCCAGGCTGGAGTGCAGTGGTGATATCACAGCCCACTGCAGCCTTGACCTCCTAGCTCAAGCAATCCTCCCCCATCAGCCACCTGAGTAGCCAAGACAACAGGCAAGTATCACCATGCCTGTTTTTTTTGTAAATACAGGGTCTTGAACTCCTGGGCTCAAGAAATCTTCCCACCTTGGCCTCCCAAAAAGCTGGAATTTATAGGTGTGAGCCACTGCACCCAGCCAAGTCTTTTCTCAAAACAGACTGACAAGGTGGCAACAACCTGCCAAAAGGCTTAACCTGCAAGATAACATGCTAAGAGGAGCCACATGTCATTTGCATACAAAAAGAGTTGGATATTTTCATAGAAATTCAAGTTTTCTGATTGCTAGCCTACTGTTATTCAAAATAAGGACTGCTATAATTAATTTGAACTGCTAATTAATAATTATTCATTCAGAAGCTGTGTCATCAAAAGGCAAAGGTGATTTTCAGGCAAAGGCGACTGAAGAGGAGGCAGCTGAGGCAGTAAAGGAGTTAAAAAAAAAAGATTCTGGGATGGGCACAGTGTCTCACGCCTATAATCCCAGCACTTTGGAAGGCTGAGGCAGGCGATCACTTGAGGCCAGAGTTTGAGACCAGTCTGGGCAACATGGCGAAACCCCATCTCTACTAAAAATACAAAAATTAGCCAAGTGTGGTGGTGCACACCTATAATTCCAACTACTCAGGAGGCTGAGGCCGAAGAATCTCTTGAACCCAGGAGGTAGAGGCTGCAGTGAACAGAGATCGCGCCACTGCACTACAGACAGTCTGGGTGATGGAGTGAGACTATCTCAAAAAAAAAAAAAAATTAATTCTAACACAGATTTTTGCTGAACTGTATACAGAGTTTAGTATGAGGACGAGTTAGAGTTCCAATTTCAGCTTTCCAGTTTCACACTATGATTATAGAAAAGACTTGATATGACTTCGCATCTTTCTTCCGAGGAGGTAATTTAACATAAAACACTTCTACCTAGTATTACCTGTCCCTAAACATCATGATTCATTCATATTCCTCTCTCAAACCTGCTGCTGGTTTATGAAAAAAACACAACAGGATCATTCCGATAGAAAATGAATTCAAGGATGATGCAGTGTCTCCAAGGGAAAAGCAGCTGCTTGGCTGGTCATATGCAGGAGTAAGAACTGGAGTCCCTGAGTGGGCTTCAAGAGGGGCAAAAAACCACCAATGAGGTTTGCTATAGAAGAAGTTTGTGGCCCTAACAGGGAAGGTAAAGAACCTTTAACGGAAAAACACTGCTGCTGAATGCCAGTGGTTAGATATTTTTTCTTCCTCAAGAACACGTCATAGTGGCCCACTGCCAGTAGTCACTCCTCATCATACATACCCTCGAAACCCTTTCAATCCCCTCTCACCATCCATCGCCTTACCTTCAAAGCCAAGTTCTTAGGAGGCATGTCACTGTCCAAGTTGTGTCTACCACTGCTGTCTCCTGCCCACTGCAACCTGGCTTTTGCTCATATCAGTCCCAGGAAATACTCTTGCTAAGACCCCAACTGACCCCTCACTTTATACCAAATCCACCTTACTATACTTCACATGAGTTAGCCTCTCTGCCTCCACCCTACACTGTCCTCTGGCTTTCCTCCCATTACCAGTTTCATTCCAGTTTCTGAAATATTGAGGGACTACAGTTTCATCACTGTCCCTGCCTAGAACTCAGGGAAACTTAATGCAAAGTACTATGATCAGTACTATTAGAGTAATATACTTCAAAATCAGTAGATCCTTATTACATCAAGGTGAGAACATTGAAAAATGACCTTCCTTGACTAGGGGCAAGATAAAGAGTGCATCTTCTAGACTCACCTAGGTCTCAGCGCCTCCCTCCTCCAGGTGTATGCTCAGCCTCTACCTAAGGCTCACGCACAACATGGTCATGCTGTGTTAGGGCCCCTTGAAGACATGTGTATCCCACGCTCATCTCAACAACTTCGCCACAGAAAATGTCTGAGTGATCATTACCAATTGCACTCAGTTTTGTTGAATTGCTACTCAAATTTTATGCAGGGAATACTAGCTGCCTGCCTACCAGACAGAATGCATTGAGCTTGCCACAGAAGGGAACAGACTTGGAGACACAGAGCATATCTGTGGCTGCCCAAGGCTGGGGGAAAAGTTCTAAGACTATATTATGGTGATAGTTGCACAATTCAATAAATCTACTAAAACGTAATTCAAAGGCATATTTCAAATACGTGAATTTTGCGGAATACAAGTTACACTTTAATAAAGTTTTATGTTTAATGAACAGAACACAGAACCAGAAGTTTAATGGAGAAAACATATGTACACAAATGTAAGTAATTCTGACAATCACATCACTCATTATAATATATTGTTCTAATACTAAACAGGGAAACTATATTCTAACAGTCTAATAAACATTGCTTTTTTCTTTGGCTAATCCTGTAAATAGTTACTAGCTCAATAAATTTTTGTGAAAGGGCAGGAAGCTGTATAATAAATGCAACTAAATAGTACCAGTGGATAAATGCAAACCTGCTCCTGAATTATTCAGTATTTCTTTGGGTATCTCTCTTGCAAGTCTCTTCCTACTCAAAGCAAATGTAAAGGCTAAACTGTAAACAGCCTGGTTCCTCAACCCTGACTACTAAATATATTCACCTGCCCGTCAGAACAGCTGGAGACTACTGAGCACTGACTGACACCTAATCGCTAAGCCAGTGCAAACTCCTGGTCAACTATGAAGGATGGAACTGTCCCCACTTTTAGGTGCACTACAAACAATGCTAATTAGAACTCATAGCAATGCCTCCAACAGGTTTCTTAAGATGTCTAAATATTATATTGTGCTGCAAGTCAACCATGAGGAGGATAGAACTTGTCGAAACAAATAAAATCTCTTAAAGATTTATATTCAAGGGATATCTAATTTATGTCTTACATAATTTGCATCTTAGACTACCAAAGGTCTCATATTTGGATTTAAAATGACTTTAAAATATTATAAAATTCATTTTAAAAAAATCAATTTAAAACAGAATACACAAAAACTACATAAATAATAAAATTATAAAATATAATAATTTGGAAGATATCTTTTGTTTTTTAAACATTCTTCTCTATTAAAAGCTGGCTAGGCATGGTGGCTCACGCTGTAATCCTAGTACTTTGGGAGGCAAAGGCGGGAATATCACTTGAGCTCAGGAGTTAAGAGACTAGCCTGGGCAAAATAGTGAGACCTCAGTTCTATTTAAAAAACAAAATTAGATAAACAATCCAACTCCTCCTTTGATTCCTACATGAACTGCTATAATGGGGGGAATAAATAAGATTTATTGTAATTTTTGTTTTTTTACTTAAAAATTTACTTTTTAAATTTTATACAATTTATAAGATCCTTAGATCAAACTGAATTTCAAGTAGTAGTTCTCTGAAGCACTGTACATATGCAAATGACGAAAGGCAGGATTTTAAAACCAATAAATTTCCACTTCTTTATTCATCACAGCTAAAATATGAAACAAATTTTCCGAGTAAAAGCTTACTATTCAGGCTGGGTGCCGTGGCTCACGCCTGTAATCCCAGCAGGAGGGGAGGCCAAAGTGGGCAGATCACAAAGTCAGGAGATCGAGACCATCTGGCCAACAGGTTGAAACCCCAACTCTACTAAGAATACAAAAAAAAAAGCCAAATGTATGGTGTGCACCTGTAATGCCAGCTACTTGGGAGGCTGAGATAGGAGAAAAATTTTATGAACCCAGGAGGCGGAGGTAGCAGTGAGCCGAGACTGCACCACTGCACTCCAGCCTGGGTGACAGAGAGAGCAAGACTCTGTATCAAAAATAGAAAAAAGCTTACTATTCAATTTATGTGGTTTAAGGAACACAAGCTACCAGAATGTAATGCTAACCATATACATATAACAGATTATCAATGACACATGAAAATTTTGTGATGAATATTTGACAACAAATTAATCTATGTGGTACACTGTCGAATTTAGAAAAGACATACAGTATTGACAGTTACTGTACCCAGGCGGTGTGGTGATGAATGGATCCCCTACAACTTCTTGAGAAATAGCTACATTTTCTAATTTTTGTTACAATACACATTTTTCTTAAGGAAGTTGTCCCTGAGCTTTGACTGTGATTAAACAATCTTTGATTAATCTCAAAACTGAATTACCTGACTCAAAGGTGGGATGGAACTTGTCTGAGAAGTGGTTTGAGATATAGGACCATTCATCTGTAAAATTGAAAACAAACACAACATGAGTACAATGTTTAAAAAACAAACAAACATATTTTCAACCCACAGTAATTAGGCAAAACTAAACCCTCCAAGAAATGCACATTTTACATGAAAATTTGTGAATTCACAGATATTCAGAATGAAGGAGCCTTAAAATTTTTAAATTCTGAATGAACATCACAGGAAAGTTCTTTGCAGTTTCAATGGGGAAAACTAAGAAAAGCTACTTTTCTCAAAGCTGTTTTGAAACTTTAAATATTACTGCTTGACATAAAATTTTTTTTTTTTGAGACAGAGTTTCACTGTTGTTACCCAGGCTGGAGTGCAATGGCACGATCCCGGCTCACCGCAACCTCTGCCTCCTGGGTTCAGGCAATTCTCCTGCCTTAGCCTCCCGAGTAGCTGGGACTACAGGCGCACTCCACCAGGCCCAGCTAATTTTTGTATTTTTAGTAGAGACGGGGTTTCACCTTGTTGACCAGGATGGTCTCGATCTCCTGACCTCATGATCCACCCGCCTCAGCCTCCCAAAGTGCTGGGATTATAGGCGTGAGCCACCGCGCCCGGCCTGACATAAAATTTTTAAATGAACAAAAGTAGTCAAAAAAATTTATATTAAAACCAAACTCTTTAAATACATTCTACCATAAAAACTATAATGTTTAAGTATTTACAAATCACTGCATTTATTTGATTTAAAAAATAAAAGGCTTTAAGCATCTACAGCTCTAACAAATTTGTTGTTGTTATCACCTACTACTTATCCTCTACTAAGCTACCTATACATTTTTCAGACTGATGGGGCTCAGGATTTGCCCCCAAAAAATATGGAACATTGACATTTGAGGAAACAGCAGAATCAGGCCATGGAATCTAGAAAGAATTCTCCTCACCCTTTTTCCTTGAAGCAGGCCATAAAACACAGCTGACATTCCCCTGAAGACCCTTCTGGAGGGGCTTTGCTTTATACCAGGAGGAATATCACAGAGGACTGTCAAGAAAAACCTGAACACACAGCCTTGCTAAGTTCCTCCAGTTTATTACTTCTAGGTCACATTGCTTTTGTCCAATCATGCTTCTCAACAACTATCAACATCTGCATCACTTAGCAAAAAAAACATACAGTTTTCCCTATTTCTTTGGTTCTTCCTTTCTGGAGGATCCCATGTCATATACAATTTATTATTAAATAAATGTGTATGCTTTTCTCCTGTGCATCTATCTTTTGTTACAGGGGTCTCAGCCATGATCCTCAGATGAGTAAGAAATCTGTTCTCCCCTATAGACTCTAAATTCTATATGCAGATCCTAAGATGTGCCAGTGTTTCTGTTTAGAGCCTCTTACTAAATCCAATATAAAATCCTTTATCAAAAAAAGCAATGGACTCCCCATCACCCCACTCGACAGCACCCACCAGATGAGCGCCGTCCTTGCCCTCCTGGACTCTCTGTGTCTGCGGTTCAGCCACGACCTTAGTGTCCTGATCAGAAGTCATGGGCTCCACTGGGACAAGTTTAATGCTAACCTCAGGATGCTGTAAAATGGCAAAGACATTAGTCATTTGAAGGGCACAGTATGATTCTTTAAATAAAATTAAAATCCTCAAGTTTTCCAGGACATATGTTTACCCCTCTTAATTCAAAATACCTTACTTACCAAGAAGTGATACTTAATTTTTTAAATAAATAAGTTTCTTCCTCACACCATTTTGGTGAGACCACACTGGAAAACTTGAAACCCATGCACTAACACAAAAAAACCCATCTGTGCCTGGAAACTCAATTCTTTTAAAACACAGAAAATTGAGGGATTAATATCTAAGATCTATAAGAAACTCACACCACTTGATAGCAAAAAAAAAAAAAAAAAAGATAAACTGATTAAAAAATGGTCAAAGGCATGAATAGGCATTTTTTCCCAAGACGACATAAAAATGACAATAGAAATACGAAAAAGGTGCCCAGCATCACTAATTACTGGGAAAATGCAGAACTAAACCACAGTGGTATTTCACCTCACAACTGTCAGAATGGCTATTATCAGTAAGACAAGAGGTAACAAGGTCATCAGAGAAACAGAACCTTTGTGCACTGTTGTGGGGATATAAATTGGTACAGCCATTATGAAAATAGTATGGAGGTTGCTCAAAAATTTAAAAATAGAACTACCATATGATCCTTTCCAAGTATATATTCAAAGGCAATGAAATCGCTACCTCATAAGAATATCTGCACTCCCAGGTTGATTGCAGTATTTTTCACAATAGTCAAGATTTACAAACCACCTACTTGTCCATCAATGGACAAATGGATATAGAAACTGTGATGTGTATATGTCTATATATACTATGGAATGAAATATTATTCAGTCTTTAAAAAGGAGAAAACCTCATTGTATGCTATAACATGGGTGAATCTGAAGGATATTATGCCAAGTGAAATAAGCCAGTACCGAAACAAATACTGCATGATCTCACTCATATGTGAAATCTAGTATCTTTAAAAGTCAAATACAAAAAAAAAAAGAAAGTCAAATACATAGAAACAGAATAAAATGGTGACTACCAGGAGGCTAGAAGGTAGGGAGGAAATGAGGAGATCAATGTCGAAGGTTACCAAGTTACAGATACTATGAATGAGTAAGTCCAGAGACCTAACGTACAATGTGAGGCCTACAGTTGTAATATTGCATTATACACCGGAAACTTGCTGAGAGTATATTTTAGGGGCTCTTACCAACACAAAAGAAGGGTAACTATATGAAATGATGGCTTTATTAATGGGCTGGACTCTCCAGTAACCACTTCACTATATATATCAAAACATCATGCTATATGACTTATATATACACAATTAAAAAAAAAAAAAAAGCCAGGCACAGTGGCTCACACTTCTAATCCCTGCACCTTGAGAGGCCAAAGCAGGCAGATCGCCTGAGGTCAAGAGCCAACATGATGACACCCCGTCTCTACAAAACATTTCAACATTATCTGGAAATGGTGGCAGGCATCTGTAGTCCCAGCTATTCAGGAAGTTGAGGCAGGAGAATCACTGGAACCCAGAGATTGCAGTGAGCTGAGATCATACCACTGCACTCCAACCTGGGCAACATAAACTCCCTCTAAAAACAAACAAACAAACAAACAAACAAACAGAAAACTGGCCAGGCGTGGCGGCTCACACCTGTAATCCCAGCTCTTTGAGACCAGGAGTCCAAGACCAGCCTGGTCAACATTGCAAAACCCAGCCTCTACTAAAATTACAAAAATCAGCCAGGCATGGTCGCATATGACTATATATAATCCCAGCTACTCGGAAGGCTGAGAAACTAGAATCGCATGAACCAGGAAGCAGAGAGGTTGCAGTGAGCTGAGATCACATCACTGCACTCCTGCCTTGGCGACAGAACAAAACTCTGTCTTAACAAAAACAGGCCACACGCAGTTGGCTCATGCCTATTATCCCAGCACTTTGGGAGGCCGAGGCAGGCAGATCACCAGAGACCAGGAGTTCAAGACCAGCTGGCCAACATGGCAAAATCCCATCTCTACTAAAAATATAAAAATGAGCTGGGCCTGGTGGCACATGCCTGTAGTCACAGCTACTCAGGAGCCTGAGGCAGTAGAACTGTTTGAACTTGAGAGGCAGAGGTTGCAGTGAGCTGAAGATCACACCACTGCACTCTAGCCTGGGTGACAGAGCAAGACTCCATCTGAAACACACACACACACACACACACACTACAAAGTTAATAGAACTCCTGAAATAAAAGGTCACTGATGAATGCCAAATTTATATATATTTAACTGTCCTCACTTAACATCATCAATAGGTTCTTGGAAACTGACTTCAAGCAAAAGATGTGTAACAAAATCAATTTTACCATATGTACAAACAAAAGTTAGGTTCTTAGAGCATATTTCCAGTCATAAAAACATCACCAAACTTCTAAATAAAGACCCAAAACTCCTTCTAATATTTAAAATGGCAATAAATATGAGCCATACACATTTTTAAGAGATTAACAAGAAAGACAATTATGTATGTAATTTCTGGTGAGTCGGAAAGTGACAGTGGTGATAGTGGTGGTGTAACCACCACTAGATTTAACCAATCAAGGAATAAATGTTTTCAAAGTAAAAATTCTAAGAACATTACGGCAGAGTACAGTGGCTCACATCTATAATCCCAACACTTTGGGAGGCTAAGGCAGACGGAACGCTTGAGCCCAAGAGTTGGAGACCAGCCTCGGCAACATAGCAACACCCATCTCTATATGAAACACAAAAATTAGCCAGGTGTGGTGGCATGTACCTGTAGTCCCAGCTACTTGGGAGGCTGGGATAGGAGGATTACCTAAGCCCAGGAGGTGGAGGTTGTAGTAAGCCGAGATCGCACCACTGCACTCCAAGCCTGGGGGACAGAAAAAGACCCTGTCTCAAAAAAATAAAAAAAGAATATTCCTACCATTAAGCAGTTGAAAAACAAACTAATGATAACAAATAGGGCAGGCTTGCTGAGCACTTTATTTGTTGTGCATTTATATTATTATAGTAGACTTTATGAATTTTGTTTCACAATAATTTATATGCATTCATTCATTTCCCAACCTGATTATTCCAGTTCAGCGTGACAGGTGGCCAGAGCCTATCTCAGCAGCTCAAGGAGCAAGATGGGAACCAGCCCCGACAGGATGCCATCCCAACACATGGTCACTCACATACACACCCACACTCAGATTGCAACCAGACAGACACGCAAATCCACCCAACATACACACCTTTGCAATGTGGGAGGAAACTGCAATACCCAAAAAAAACCCGTGACATGCGGAGAACATGCAAACTTCAAACAGACAATGGTCCTGGCCAGGAACTGACTTCTTTCTCACAATGTTGAAATGACATTGAAAGAAATCATGTTTTTCA